TTTTACAGAAATATGCTCGTTTTATGTGTTAAGAGGAGAAACGGATTTGTGGAGAATCACTGGAGATCCTTTTTTTTTTCTTTTTTTTTTTTTTCAAGTCCCTCCCATGTTGTGTACAGCTGTCTGCTGCAGAGCTGTTCTTTCAACGAGGAACAAGTGGGAATTTCATTTAAAGTATATCATATCAATTAAAAGATTACCTGGATTTCTCATTTTGTGCAGCACAGCTCTTTTTGTGACCATTCTCTCTTATCCTTGTCCTGCGAGTGCACAGAAAGGCATCAAATCCTTCTTGACCCTGCTCTCCTGTCTGTTCTGCCAAACGTCCTGCCGTTTAAGAAACGTGATGCCAGCTGCTCATCTTGTCTGAGTTTGATCTGTCTACTCTGTTTGTGCACTTGAAATTGGTCTCGGTCTTCATTCTCTGCCGATCTGTGAATGAATTTTAATACGAGGTAAAGCACATTCTTTGCGGAGCTCGATGCATTTGCCGAGCATCGATGCATTTGCGGAGCTCGATGCATTTGCCGAGCTCGATGCAGACAGGGTGGATATCAACTTTTGAGTGCTGGAGGGGGGTCGATGGGAAGACTTGGAGAGGAATCAATTGGTGCTTTTCAGTTGGGGGGGGGGGGGGGTTGATTGGGATGGGTTTGTGCAAAAACCACCGTCTCTCGGTTATTTGCTGCGGAGCTTGTTGATGATTTTGTATTTGAAATCTGTTCCATTGGACTGCGTGCCTTTTGTAAAGCTGAGCTGAGGTTAATACTTCGCTTTTTTTTTTTTTTTTAATTAACAGGTTCATGGCAATTTTGCGAAGTAGTGAACGAACGCTTAAACCACTAGTGCCTTTGACAGCTGGGAAAATGAACTCTTAAAAAAATGGGGGCTGTGCCTCTGACCCACTGGAGTCTCCCTGTTTTGCCAAGAGTCAAACGTACTTGGAGGTTTAATGCTGCAAGTTTCGGCTTCGGCACATTCTCATGAAATGCTACTTGGGCACTAATCTCACAGTGGCCGTGTGTCCTGGAAGTTGTTTGGGGATGGCAGTTTTCATAGCTACGTATGCATTCCGTTGGGCGCAGAATTCTCATAACACAGCCCTCACAGGAATATAGTGCAAGGTCACTATAGCTGTATTTGGTTGGACTTTCTGTCCAGACATTACAATAACTACTAAGCGTTCTATTTGGGTGAAGAGGGGAGTTCCGAGTTCTATCGTTTTTTTTTTTTTAATCTCCCCGAAGCTCTTTATCGAATAGAGATGCGGGGGAAGGATTCTGAGACTACCTGGAGTCTTCTCGTATGTGGACCGGTTTGAGTAAGCAGGGGTTAACGAATGTGTACGTGGATTTGCGCACGGGGAGTAGATGCTTTTGAATGCGGAGGAGGAGCAGATGTTTTGGAACGTGGAAGGGTGTAGGATGGAAGGCACTTTCTCTGTATAGAGCCTTTTGTAAAAGGTCAAGTAAGTCAGTAGTAGATTATGGATGTTTTATGGGGGCATGGTTTTTGTGGTGACGTCTGCCAGGGCAACTTGGCTTGATGGGGAGGGTGGGTGGATATGAGGTACGCTCTACTGAAGCCCATGTGTGGGTGGATGTGGGAGATGGGAAGAAGGATCCAGGCAGGGTAAGGCAGTGATGTGAAGTATATTATATTGGGCATTTGCAGAGGACACACGAAGTGCTGCGTTGTGGTAGTGCGTTGTGCGTGGAAAAGCAAGGACGAAACCCTCCTGAAGTGACCTACTTCGCTGAGCCTTTTTCGTAGGGGAGACGATGCTGAACCAGGAAGTGAAAAGGGTGAGAAACGGTGAGATCCAACACGTAACCTCGTATGCCCTCCGTCCTAGCTTTTCGACCACCAGTAATTTTCCCACATTACGGACACGGGCAGTTTTGGTGGGGCTCGGAAGGAAAACCGGGCCGCCTATGAAATTTATATATGCCGGCCCCTTCCCATGTGTGTCTTCCAAACATACCAGGGTGGCTTTAATTTCTGAGTGGGGAAAAAGATGTACTGGTGGTTTAAACCGCCAGTCGTTCTTATGCTTCCCTCGGCAAGCCTGTAAACATCCTGCGTGCCAGCAAATATGAACCAGTGTGGGCCTTCTCTTCGCTCGTGGTGCCGCCAACCATTTTGCCTCTGGTAGGCTGACCCTGGAAACTTGTGGGACGCATTTGACCGCCTCGGACAGATGTTGGATGCATTTGGCTTTTGGAGACCGTTGACGTGCATGTAGACACCGTTGGAGAATAACGGCTTGCAAGCGCACTGGTGTTGGAGTGTGCCTGCGTGTCTCCACATATCAGGGTTGACATGGGTGATGCTCCCGCAAGACCCTTTTCCCTTTTGGACCTGTCGGGGCTGAGTGGGGTGTGGTTTTCTTTGAGCCGTCGTGTCGCGCACTGATGTTGGAGTGTGACTGGAGGTCTCCACATATCAGGGTTGATATTGCGCGACTCTCCCGAAAGAGCCTTTTCCCTGTTGGGCTCTGGGGGGGCTGAGTGGCGTGTGGTTTTCTTTAAGCCGTCGTGTCGGGCACTGGTGTTGGAGTGCGCCTGGGGGTCTCAGTGATAGATCAGGGTTGGTATTGCGGGATGCTCCCGGAAGGGCCTTTTCCCTGTTGGGCCCTAGGGGGCCTGTGTGGGGTGTGGTTTCTCTTTGAGACGTCGTGTCCCGTCTTTTTTCCCCTGTTGTTAAGTGTGTACCAGTTCTCGTATTTTCTGCACGTGGAGAGTCCCGAAGCGGTGTAGAGTAGTGGAGCGATGGGTTGATTTATCCTGCATTGTGACCGCGCAGATTGGCGAGTCGCTCCACTATATCCAAATGTGGAAAATGGCCCTGAATCTTTTGCTGGAGCGTGCGAACATGCGTCACCATATTTTTTTGTATTTTGTGCATTTGGAGAGTAGTGGAGGGACACACTGATTTATACTGCACCATGATCACGCAGATTAGGGACTCGCTCTGAATTGTCCGGTGGAAGGACGTGCACGTGGAGAGTGCCGGAGTGACGTGTCCATTTCGTCCGCACATATTTTGGTTGGAGGCTGCAAAATGAGACGGAATCCTTTGGCGAGACATGGGATGGATGACACGTTGCCAGTTTTTGTCTTATCTGAGGCATGTCCCCCTGTCTGACGTCATCCTCACAGTATCAGGTATCAGTAGAGGGCAGTGCACGGATCCACAAATGTGGATCCCTCAGCTCGCCCGTCTTCTGGCTCCAGCTTATCTGCATAGAGGAGAGGGAGGAGTCGTCGGGTTGTCTGCGGCCTTGAGCGCAGCCGGAGTGTTAATGTGCTTCTGGGGGATAATTTTCCAAATACCCAAACAACTTGAGGTACTTGCCAAAATGCCTCTAAAAGATGTGGGTAGACCGAAATGCCCTTTCGGGCATAAATCTGGACCTTGTTGTTGAGGCCTGGGCGTGCATGCTGTCTTACCCGGTTTGCCTCACTGTTCAAACTTTCAAACTAGTTTGAAGTCCCTGCCGCTGCCTCACACTGTGTTTGCCAGCTTCTTATATCTTAGGGGCTCCGCTCCGGCAAGCGCTTCCCCATATACAACTCCTGTCCCTCATTTCCTTCGATTTCTCCTCCTTTGCAACTTCACCATCTCTGAGATCCTGCCACTCCTTTGAACTCTGTGTTTGTATGTGTGTGTGTGTGTGTGTGTGTGTGTGCTGTCAGCTCTCTTCGACAGGCTTGCACGTTGATGAACTAACGTTTGGTGAAAAATGTGGTGAAGGAATCATGTCAATAAGATTACAAAATATAATAAAGTAAAAGTGACAAAGATGAAAGGGAAAAATCGTTGTTCAACTGCTGGTACAAGGTGGTGATGTGTGTGTGTGTGTGTGTGTGTATACATATATATAATATATATGTCATGAAAAATGTTAGTGTTACTGAGAAAAGATAGCCACCGAAGACCACCTATTCGGGCCGAAGATGGGCATAAAAAATGACAATAAATTGGAATAAAATGCATTACTACTATAATTTATGTCAGTCTTACGTACGATATGAAAAAAAAAAAAAACTACCATAATTTGGATGAGCAGTTACATCCTGATTCCTAACCCATTTCATTTTGAAATATTATATACCCCCGGGCTGGTGGCATGTATGTGTGGCTTTCGTTTCTTTCAGTTTATATGCAAAACGTGAATTGTAATATACATGCATTTCCACGCATGCACCTAAATCATACATTACCAAAATATAACAGAAATCCTTATTTTTTCTTTTTTTCTTTTTTTATAAAAACATCCGAGGTGGTACTAGGGGTGCTGGTAAGAGCAGACACCGCTGGAAATCGGGTCCAGCGTCCCTGAACATTATGAAGGTCATCAGAACATGCAGATTGTTGTTGGCTGGCAGCATTGATTGCCCTCCGACGAGGGGGTTGACTGCTCATCTGAAATCTGAACTTTTCTGCGCAATCCTGCCAGCATTGATTGCCTGGAACACCGGGGATTGACTGTACAGGTGGGCTTCCTATGCTGAGAACTGGGCCTGAGGCTAACTCCGTGGAAAATAAAGAATTAAGACTAATTGTGTTGGACCAGTTAAGACTAATTGTGTTGGACCAGTTAAGGGCCACCTCTTCAGTCTGCACCGGACCGCCAGATCCTTCGTGTTTCCTTTAGCAGCCACTTCCTGTTCCTCAGGATGCCCGTCCTCTAGGTACCCGTCTTCTCCATGTCCGCCCTGTGTCGCCCATTCAGTCTGCTCTGTACCATTGCATGTCCACCATCGCCAGCTGGTGGGGTGGGAAAGGGTCGGGGAATTCTGTGGCAGGTCGCAGCGGGATCTCCTGACCCACAGTAGTCCAGTCTCTGAAACAGATGCGGTAGTCCCTCCTGAATTCCACCTGGTTGTCCTCCTGGGAGGGCTTACCCTTATTTAACAGATGCGATCCAGCCCCCATTCTCACTGCCCAACCAGTCCCCAGAGAATTGGTGAATTGCTTGTGTAATGTCCTTTACTGAGTGGTATAGGTCGAGCTGGGTTTTCGTTCTTCGCCAGTGTACCATGATTTCTTGTTGAATGTATTGCCTTATCATGTCTGTTGACTTTCCCCAGTTATGCGGACTCCCTCCATAATGTGTATACAACGTTTTCTCCAGAGGGTCCACATGACCGCTCGTCTTCCTAACTTGAACATGTTGTTTTCGAAGGTGTTGTCGGTGGGGGAGGACCATGCCTCCCAAAAGATGGCCTGCCAATCCCATGGCCAGTGGGAGTCAGTGCCCAACCGAGTCCAGGTCCTATCCCACCATCGCCATGTGAGCACTGCCCCTGGGCACTGCATGAATGTGCTCTGTGGTTTCCGGAATTCTGCGGGGGGGAAAAGTGGTGTGGCATGACTTGCACCACGGTAATGCCTGCCCCTTTTGCTCCAGGTATGTGCTATCTATCAACCAGTCATGGGTGGGCAGGCAGCGGTGTTCTATCTGCCATTGAAGAGAGGCCATCTTCGCAGGTTTGGACCTTGTGGCAGAGAAACATCGAATCGAGCGGATTGCCTCCTTCCCTATCTTCAGGTGTGACTGCCATCGGACCTTCACTATTTCTTTATGTTCACTTTTGTTTGAAGGAGACGATATGTGGCCTTCACTGATAGACTGTGCAGTTTTATATTCGTCCTTGTCTTGGGTTTTCGCTCGGGGACCCACTGGCTCGTCAGGGTCCATCAGAGGAGCGCTTGGCTGATATGTGATGCAAACATCTTTATTCGCAATACACGTATCCTGTGCACATCTGGGCGGTAAGGGGTGAGTATATTTTCCTTGCCAACGTGGAAGAGGTTTATCAGAGTTTCGTCTGATCTTACCTCCACCACATTGCCACCGCTTTCCGGGTCCCCCGGGGCCGCAACCCAATCTCCTTCCCTCAGCCGTGGTCCTCTGCGCAAAATGCGCACCCAGTCAAGGGGGACTGCTGCGGTCAACAGATCAACATTCTCCTCAATCTTGTGGCTGTGTTTTAGTATGGTTCTCAGTTGTGGCCCCGATTTCCAGTCGCCCACTTCCTTGTCCCATATGTCTTTTATTCGAATTATGACCCAACTGTTCCACGGGTTGTTTGAGCTGTGATACACCCTGCGGTACCGGTCTGTTATCTTCCTGTTCCCAAAAAGAAGCTGGTGCATCACCTCCTCCCACCTGGTTGGTGGAGGTTGGTCAGGCAAAGGAAGTTGGCGGCAGGCCTTAATGACTCGGGTCTAGAGGTCGTCTCTGACCAGGTCCTAAAGGGCTGCATCTCGGGGTGAGTCTCGCTCTATACGGGGACGCCTTGGTACAGTCTAGAAGCGGTCTTCTAACCAGGTCAATGGGCTAAGTCCTTGCGGTGTCTGTGGGGTGAGTCTGGCTATCTGTTCCAGCGCCAGGGCATGCCATGGGAGGTGCTCAGTGAACAGCAATCCCCTGACCCATTGGACAGTTAATGCTGCGATTAGGGTGTCCGGGTCCAGGATCCCCAGCACCCCTTTGGCCTTGGGTTGGATCACTGATGGCTAGACTACTCTGCTGCTGATGTTCGAGAGTTCACCATTACCTCTCCATAGTAGGGCCACTAGTTGCCTTTTAAGCGACCGGACGACCTCCTTGCTGAGGGTCCAAATTGCAGATTTATACCACAAGGCCGCAAGTATTACACTGTTGATCGCGAGTGCTCTGTCGATAAGGGAGGTGTGCCGGTCTTTCCAATTAGCTAAATTTTCGAGAGCAAGCTTTAGGATGGATGCGGGTTTGCCCAATGCCGTCAACCTAATTCCAAGCACTCTAACAGGGTTGTGTCGGGGAGCCATTTCACCCGT